CTTACTAAAGTCTAGGTATACCACATCCACCGCTTCACCCTTATCCACAAGGCTCGTTATCGAAGAAAGATTGGCTACACCTGTGACAACCCACATCTTAGAAGAGTTAAATGCTTGTCAGTTGGACCCCAAACAGATATCTGCTTGTGCATTTGATGGAGCTGCAAACTTTTCTGGAAGACATGGTGGAGCACAAGAGAAAAGTGTAACACTAATCTCTCCTATACACACTGCAGAGGTCATCTACTCCAACTAGCGCTAGTACGAGCTGCAGACTCTTCAAAAGACATTTTTTTTAAAAAAAGCTATAAATTTAATGTCTTCATTATATTCTTTTTTCCAGCAAGAGTCCAAAAAGACTGAATATTTTGGAAAATGTAGAAGATACACTGGGACTGAAGTTCAAATTAGTCCAACCTGGGAAAAACCGCTGGCTTTCTCACGAGCGATCCTTGGCTGTTGTCTTAAAATTACTCCAGCCGTTATTATTGGCTTTGGAAAGTATCTACCAAGATGGGATGGATCTAAGTAGTGAGGCTGGTGGATTATTTTTGCTACTACGTTCAGAGAAGACTATTGACATTCTCTCTCTCTGTTGAAACCACTTGGGTCATTAATCAATGCCATCCAGGCATCTGCTAAAACAGCAGTAGATCTTTGTCCAGCAGTAAAAGCTACATTTGGATCAGAGAACTATCCATTGAAAAAGTACTGGAAGAAGCAAAGACTTCCGTCCAGAAGTTGACTAATGAAGGCATTTACATTGAATCCTTAAGTGAAGAGGACAAGACGTGGTTGTTAAGACAACTGAAAAAGTACAGACTTGATTCTTAAAAATCTACAACTGCGACTTCTAGATTCTACTCAACTTCTACGTAGCTTTTACAGATCCCTGTCCTATAAAACACCAACAGTTGAGTGAAGTGAGGCACTACCAGCAATGGGGCTGCCATGTGCTCAGGACAGAATAGAGAATTTAACCACAGAGTGGAATATCATACAACGAATGAATGAAGATTTGACTTCAACTTCTTTTTTATCATCACTAGTGGCTCGATCCCATCTTTATGCTATGTTTCCTGGGATGAAAGAAGTAGGAATTCATCTCTTGCTACTCCCAGTCACAACAGCTACAGTTGAGTGTTCTTGTTCATCATTGAATAGAATTTTGTGTTTTGAAAGAAGTTGCCTTCTGCCTGATCACGTGAATGAACTAATGAGCATATCAACTGAAGGAATGGAAGTACCGGACACATGAGAAGCCACCAAAGATTAATGCATTGCGTTCACGAAGTTCATTAACAGAGTTGTGCAAAATTATAACAAGAAACCAAGAAGGATGTAGATGTAGTGCTTCATAGAAGGCTTGAGTAGCCAACTTTAATTTGTTTGAGGATTTTAAAATCTAATAAAATGGTCATGAAACATTTTTCAGTTTTTACTAGGGTGCCATATAACCCTTCACCCTCACGGTCTCACCCCTCATCAGCCCTGACCCCACCCCCATAAATTTGAAACCCTCCCCCTAATTTCAGTTCCTGGGGAAAAACACTGAGACGGAGATGGAGGGTTTGGGGTAGGACCCCTGAGTCACAAACAAACAGGCAGTAAGTGGGGGTGACACAAACCACGTCCGTCTGATTCAATCCTCTGCCCATCTGTCGTTCCAGCGTTTTACCGCCTGCCCGTCCCTGGGGTGCAGGCCCGGCCCCATGGCTCACACCCGGGGTGAGACACAGCAGGGGGGAAAGGATATTTCCCATCTCTGATTGCTTTAGTTATGCAGGGTCAATTCAGCCCTGCCCCTGCTGCAGTCAGGGGTGACTCCGGATTGACCTCAAAGAGCTGAGATCAGAACCTGTCCCTGCCCCCATTGCAGTCAGGGGTGTGGCGAAGTGGGGAATTTTCTCGTTTTCGGTGGGGTTTCAATGGTTTGCACGCGGAGGGGGTGGGACTCAGTTTCCCTGGGGGTTACTGGTTTAACGAGGGGAGAGGGAGTTTGTTGTTACAGAGGACCGGAGAGGGAACTTGGGACCCCAGCCAATGGCTGGGAGGATGGATACCCCAGTGACTGGTGACCTGAGCCCCCGACCCAGAGCCCCAGCTGAGAAGACGCAGCCGGTTCTGGCCATTGGGCAGACAATGGGCTGCAGAGTGAGGACCCAGTGACCTAACCAGCCAGTTCCAGCCAGAGGACAGAAGCGAGGAGAGGAGGGCCCAGTTTACAACCCTGTTTACCTGGAGAGAAGACAATGGACAGAGGCGGGGCCAGGGATCTCGGAAGCCCAGCTGGGAGCAGGGGGGCTGGAGGGTGGGGGAGCAGGCAGAGCCCACCTGGATGCAGAGAGACTGGGATGTGCTGGGCTGAGGGAGGCCAGGCCTGAGGCCCTGAGAGTTTCCTGTGCTGTTCAACTCTCAATAACCCCTCCTGTTTTATGCTGGCTAAGAGTCACTCCAGTCTAGAGAACAGGGTGGCGTCAACCCCTTCTGGGGTGGAGGCCTGGGGGGTCCAGAGGGAGTGGACTCCCTGAGGGAGCCCACGGTGAGAGACAGAAGTGCTAAGGCTCAGAGAGGTGCGGTTCCAGGAGGTGGATGGGCCTGACCCCTAGAGAGAGTGGACCCCCGAGAAGGGCTGTCGCACTGAAAGGGGCACCACCCACCGACCGCACGGGGCCAAGAGTGGGCACGATCTGAGAGTCCGTGACAAGGGGTGACTCCAGATTGACCCAGAGGAGCTGAGATCAGAACCCAGCCCTGCCCCCACCACAATCAAACGGTGAATTGGGATCTTCCCTGTGGGGATCTTCCCTGTGGTCCAAATTTGGGTCATTTGAGCAAGCAGCTCCCAGGACAGGCAACGAAGAAAACATGTTTACAAAATCTCCGAGTTGTTCTAGCAGGTTCCCTTCCCTGTAATGAGTAGGGCAAGGTCTCATTCCCCACCTCTGGGTGTCTGACAGGATCATCCCTTTGGGGGACTGGTGCCCCTTACCCCGCACCCACATCCCTTGTCCTTAATGTGGAAATTCCCCCAGCTGCCCCATTCCCCACAGATACTCACGTCCTGACACTCCAGCAGCCTGGAGAGGAGATGGGTCTTTAGGGACCAGATCCAAGAGTGACTGTATCCTACACTCTGGTCTCAGATTCCCCCCGCATGGACACACTCCTGCCTATCTCCAATACTCACCGAGGAGGAGGACAGTGAGAGCAGATGCCATGACAGGGCAGTGGGGACCTCTCAGCGCTGCCACCAACTCCCCGGTGCCCAGCTCCACCAAGCCTGAGGCCCGAGTGCGAGCAGAATTAGGAACTGCGCTGGGGGCTGTGGCCCCAGGAAGCCCGTGATGCACTTGGCTCCTTTCTTCCCCAGCGCCCACCCTGGAGAATGAGGGTGGAGGGATCTGGCCAACCTCCCTCTCATGTAGTGTCGCTGCAGAATCTATTCTTAGCAGAGTGGCATAGGACAGAGACAGGACAGATGGGTGGGAGGCTAGGAGGGGTTGTGGTTTCCGGCCCCCCATGAGCGTGCAAGAAATGGGTAAATTTAGATCTTGAGTGGTTAAAGGAGCAGCTGATAAAGCCATGAAAGGGGAAGTCTGACCAGAGCCGGCGTTCGCTTCCTGTTTCTGCTACTGCCAGTGAAACTGTGTGTGAACCTGATGCCCGGCACCTACCCTCTTATATACCCCGACTCTGGGAGGTAAATGGGGTCTAATGATTGGGGCAGGGAGGGGCTGGGAGCCAGGACTCCTGGGTTCTCTCCCTGGCTCTGCTTGTGGGGTGGGGTCTGGTGCTTAGAGAAAAGGATACAGATCACAGCCAGCCCCTTAGAGGTGAAAAGCCCCGTGTCCCTTCCCCAGCCCATCCCCGGGGCAGTGGGTCCGTGCAGCTCAGGGCCTGGGTCAGAGCTCACAGGGGCCGACAGCCGAGCCAAGCTTCCCTCTCCGACCCCAGGATGCTGCGAAAGGGACACGGAGGCGGGAGCCGACCAGCCCCCCAGAAATGGGAGGGGGAAGATCACAGGGACAGAGCTTAAGATAAACTGCCCCCCCCCAGCAGATGCCCCAGCTCTGGCTCCCCATCTCATTTGCTCTTCACCCCCCCCCACCCCTGACGTTCACGCATTGGGCCCCTCAGCCCCCCGTTCTGCTCCCTGACCTGCATCCCCTCATGTCTCTGGCTGTCCCCCCTGTTCTATCCCTGCAGCCTGTAGTTCCCTCACATCCCCCCCCATCAGCTCCCCACCCTCCTAGTGCTGCCCCATCCCATGTCCCTTCACCCCGTTGTGCCCCTCATGCCCCACGTCCCATCCCCATTGTAGGGGATGCTCCCCCCTCATGCTCACTCCCTCCCCTCCCCTCCCCGCCCCCCTGGCGGCCCTCAGTTAACATGGCCACCCCATCACCCCCTGCAGCGCTCACAGGGCGGCCATGCTGCCCCCTGGCTAAGATGGCTGGACTGTCGGGGCGGGGTGATGGCTGCATGGGAACGAGCCCTCCGGTTTCTCGGACCCTAGACTGACCCCCAGCCTGTGCCCCCAACTCCCATCTCTTGATCCCGCCCCGTGGCCATGGGGAGTTGTTGTCTCCCCCGACCCTCCCCCCCACCGGAGCTGCCCCATCTTAACTGGGAGTTAGTGTGAAAACCATCCTGCCCCCCACTTTGCTGTGTAGGGGGAGTTACATGGGAAAGACGCCCCCCCAGCCTGCTCCCCCCTCATGCTCACTCCCTCCCCTCCCCGCCCCCCATCAGCCCATCTCCCGCCTGGCCTGTCCCCAGCAGGGAGGGAGGCTGAGGGGATATGGGGGCCATTATAAGACAGGCAGAGGGTGGGGTGGGGGAGGGGGAGGACTGGGCAGGACAGTAAGAGGGGAGGGGAGGGGAGATTTGGGATGAGTAGGGTCCCCCTGTGTGTGTTTCAGGCTGAACCTGCCCCATGGCCATGGGGGCACCTCCATCCCCTCTCCCTCCCCCCGCCTGGCTCTGCAGGGCTTTTGGCAGGAAAAAATCATGCTCCCCCCACTTCAGATCTACAGGGTAGGGGCTATATGGCAAAGTGTGGGAGCAGAGAAAGGGGGGGGTCAGGAAAGGGCATTGGGGGGCTGGGAATGTAGGGGGAGTATCTGGAGGGGCAGAAAGGAGGAAAAGGGGAGGGGATGGTGAGGCATGGGGGGGTCATTATGGGGCAGGGAATGTGGGGCAGAGGGGAGTGTGGGGACAGGAGACTGAGGGGAAGAAAGTTCGGGACCCAGGACTTAAGGGGGGGGAGCAGGAGGGGGCAGTGAGAAGGGAAGCTGCTGAGGGGTGGAAATGGCAGCTCCCTCCCAGCTGGCACCATCTGCCCCTCCCCCCTCAGACACCCCAACAATCCTACACCCCCCCCCTCCAGCTCTGACCTTCTGTGGGAGCCTGTCTGCCCTCAAACTCCTGTCCCCCATCCCGGCCCCCTCAACCCCCCTCCTGACAGCTGCCACCTACCTCCCCCAAACTCTCAGCTCCCCCCAGCCGGCTACCCCCAAATGCCTGCCATGGGGGGGGGGGGAGACCAGAAGCTAAATCACTCTGTGCCCGGTTGTGTTCCTGGAACATGCCCCAGCCCCCCACTGCACAGGGTTAAACACAGGCTGGGGGCGCAGCTGCTGGTAAAGTCCGACCCTGTTTCTTCCTGGGTTGGGGGTTCAGCTGGGGGAGGGGCGGTGGTGTCGGGGTCCCTCTCTCCAGCCGCTCTGCTCAGGACGTCTCCGCAGAGCAGGGTCCAGACAGCCCAGGGGGTCCAAGGGATGGGTGGTGGCAGCCAAGACGGTGAAGCGAGTCTTTCTTTAAGGCCCCAAAGGGGTGGGGGGCGGCACAGCCTATCCCCGCAGTATTTTATCCACCAATGAGGCCTCATTTCCAACACCCCAATTTTGGGTCATGGATTTCTGCTTCCCCACTTCACCCCTGTCCCAGGCGGGTCCCAGCCCAGCAGCCGCTCGGGTTGGACTAATCGCGTCTTTCTGTCTCACCAAACTCCCCCCCCCGCCACCGTTCATTCGTCCAGGTTCTCGTGACACTGCCTGAACTAATCACTCACCTTCATCAGCTGAACCCCCCACGAGGGGACATTTGGAGGCTCCGGTATCAGAGCCCCTCCTGGGGTGGGGAGATTTGGGGGGCTGGGGAGAAGGAAGCTCTGGGGGTTTGTACAATAGAAATACAGGGCAGGGGAGATCTAGAGAGAAGGGGGAGAGAAAAGGGGCTGGGGGACCTCACTGCAGAGAGGAGGGGGACAGACACTGAGGGGGCAGTAAGTGCTGTTATTCCAGCGCCAGGTCCAGATGCAGCGCCCCACACACAGGGGGCCGGGGCTCTTTCTTGGGGCACTGGGATTCTGCAGAATGGGGGGGGGGGCGCAAGCTGGGCAATGAGCCCTGGTGGTCCTGGGGGATTTAACTACCCAGCCGCCGGTTGGAAAGTGCTAGGGCCAAACACACCCTGCCCAGTGCGGCCCTGGGTGGATGGGGGACGATGGCAGGGGGAGGCTGTAACTGCGGGCGGCTGGTTTAGACTCAATGGGGACCCCCAGGCAGGAGCTGGCTGCAAAGGGGCAGGTGGCAGGTAGGTGGGGTGACCGTGGCTGTGAAATGCCGGGTGCCCGGCCCTAAGGAAAGGGAGCAGAGCAGATGGTGCTGGGAATCCAGCCAGGAAGGGATTAGTTATCGAGTGCCCAGCCCCCTTAGTGCTCTGGGCTCCCCACAGACGCAGGCGGTGCCCTCCCCATGCTGAGCCCTGCTACGGCCCTGCTCCCCCCTGACAGCCCTGGGCAGAGACCAGCCTGACTGGGCCAGCAAGTGGTATCCTGGCACCCTCCAGGGGCTGCTCTGCAGGGGAGCCCAACATGTCCAGCCCAGGAGCGGCTCCTCTAGCTGGTACCGCGGGGGCTGGTGCTCGCGGCATTGGGGGTTCAATCCTGGGGCGCTGCTGTCTGGGGGGAGGGGTTTCTCCCAAGCTGGGGTGTCTGGGGGCAGGAGGTTTTGTGCAGTGGCTTGTCCCTGGGGAGATTCTTTTCCCTGCACTGCTGGGTCCAGGCTCCTGGGAGTGTAGGGAGATGGTGAGTTAGAGGGGCCCATATTGCCCTGGGCCCAGCCCCTGGGGCAGCAAGGGGCACAGAAGGGGGGAGTCACCTCACCTAGGGCACCCCCCTCAGGCAGTTATAATAGGTCTCAGCCAGAATCAGCCCCAGGACGCCATGCCCAGCACCAGGCAGACGATGTTGGTGAAGTAAAATTCCATGGGAAGCAAGTCTAAGGTGAAAAACAATTGAAGACATTGGCAGTTTTTCAAAGAGACATTATTAAGGGCACAAGAGCAAACTATCCCGCTGCGTAGGAAAGACAGGAAGTACAGCAAGAGACCACCCTGGCTTCACCAGGAGATCTTCAATGATCTAAAACTCAAAAAAAAAAGAGTCCTACAAAAAGTGGAAACTCGGTCAAATTACAAAGGATGAATATAAACAAGTAACACAAATACGTAGGGACAAAATTAGAAAAGCCAAGGCACAAAACGAGATCAAACTAGCTAGGGACATAAAAGGAAACATTCTACAAATACATTAGAAACAAGAGAAAGACCCAGGACAGAGTAAGGCCATTACTCAATGAGGTCTGGTTCTGTTCAATATCTTCATCAATGATTTAGATCATGGCATAGAGCATACACTTAGAAAGTTTGCAGACAATACCAAGCTGGGAGGGGCTGCAAGTGCTTTGGAGGACAGGATTAAAACTCAAAATGATCAGGACAAACTGGAGAAATGGTCTGAAGTAAAGAGGATGAAATTCAATAAGGATGAATGCAAAGTACTCCACTTAGGAAGGAACAATCAGTTGCACACATACAAAATGGGAAATGACTGCCTAGGAAGGAGTACTGCAGAAAGGGATCTGGGGGTCATAGTGGATCACAAGCTAAATATGAGTCAACAGTGCAACGCTGTTGCAAAACAAACACGCAAATACAATTCTGGGATGTATTGGCAGGATGTTGTAAGTGTGGCAAATTGCCAGCACGACTATGATGGGATCTTGTGCTTTCTCTTCTGGGGGAAAGGGGGATTCAGGGCACCATTTCTTGCCCCTAACTGGGATATTAACTACCCCACTAGTGTCCTAGAGGAGGGGAGTGGAGAAGGAGGGACCCGTGCCCACCCTCTACTCCAGGTCCCAGCCCAGGGGCCCTAGGGATAGCAGTAAACCACTTGAACTATCAGAGGGGTAGCCATGTTAGTCTGAATCTGTAAAAAGCAACAGAGGGTCCTGTGGCACCTTTAAGACTAACAGAAGTATTGGGAGCATAAGCTTTCGTGGGTAAGAACCTCACTTGCATCT